AAGCAGGTATCTCTCTGAGCTCTTGGAAAATATTTCAAATGTAAAACTAAAAGCAAAACCATTATACTCAAAATGGTATTTGTTTCTTTTTTGTAAGAATAAAGATAATCAAGATGAATATAATACAGTTTGGCTATTTGTAGCAAATGAGCAGTTATTCTGTGAAAGCTGAACATGAATGACTCTCGCTAAGCCAATGATACATTTTTATATTTTATGCATAGACAAAAAAATATCATATAAATCTATCTAAAATATGTAAAACATCAATAATTCCTATTCTTTAAAAAATCAACAAGCAATTTCTAGAGTTCAACCAGACATGTTATTGTAGGAACTGGTCTGTGTGGTATGTCTTGCTCAAGGACAAGAGGACATACAGCAGAAATTAGTCTTTAATAGATGAGGTGCTCCAGCAGCTGAGGCACAGCTGTAAATTAATGCATAATCCAAACACGTCATGATGCTTTGCTTTTGGTGCACATTAAATATAGGCTGTTTTTCTTTTTTTCATCTGTGCTTGCAAAATCAAATCGAGAAGCGACTTTATAATTGTCTCACAAATATTAGAAGTCTCTTATGAAAAAAACAACAGCCTTGCTTTTTTCTTCAAGGTCAAATTTCCGGATTCAAAATGCTATTCCGGCTTTCTGTTGCATTTAAATGTGTTTGTTATATTCTGAGAGGATGTATATGGACCAAATAAAAGGGAGGAGGATGATAGCAGTTTACCCCATCCTCTCCTTCTTGTCCACTGTATTGATGGATGACGGAGTGCAGACGAGGGATGTGATGTGGGGGGATGAATGGATGGACACGAGAGAGCAGCGGGAGGGAGATAGGGATGACATCACCGCAGACTCTCTTTCCGGCCAATCCCCTCAGAGTCCGTCCCCACCCCACCTCCCTTATCTCTGCACCCTCCCACACCTCTTCGTTGTTGCTACGGCAGCAGTACCGTCCTGTTTAAGACCTTGTTTAGGGTTGATAGTAAAGCAGCATGGGATACATGTGATGCTTTAATATCTGCAGTCGAGCAGAGAAAGTCATTACCTTTGTTTATATGACAGATTTAAGTCTTGTATGATTTTCCTCTGTTCCAGCTCCTCCCCACTGCATCATTCTGCTTCTTCATTTCCACCATGTCTCCTCTCTCTGTGTAGACATTTTTTTTCTCCTGTATTTGTTTTTTGTTTGTCTTTGTCCTCTTACTCATGGTAGATAAATGAAAAATTGAAAAAGATTAGGGTAAATTATATTTGTATCTAAGATTTAAAAAAATCTAAAATGTGAAACAGTCTGATCCATTGTATATAAAATGTGGCCTATGACTCAATATAACACCTTTGGGATGAATTACATGCATGTTGCAGGGCTGGTTTTCATCCAACTATGAACCATGACCAAACATCAGGGCAAAATGTTTAGAGAATAGTTAAATTTCTTGCAGTGTTGAATAGGCGTCCATTAACCCAAACTGGGCCCTATAGATTGAAAACAAGGTGTCATCAAATTTCATGCAAATGCAAAAGTAAACAATTAAATAATATTCATATGTATATGTGTGACTATGTGTAGTGTCAGCATCCTCCATTTGTTTGTACCATTTTTCTTACTGTTCTCTTCATACAGTTGAATAATTTAGATCTTTTGTACCTTCTTAGGTACAAAACAAAGTAGCCCTGTGGGTGCAAATATGCAAATCTTTGGAAAAGCTAGAACTGCTAAACTTTTTAAAGGTTTTTAAAATTCTCTGTAATTGTAGAAGTTTTTCCTTAAAGTGAAGTATCAGTTGTCATTAGATGAATAAAGGATTTCACTGATCATTAGTTAAAAGGTGCTGGAACAAGTATGTCAAATTGTTTTCACTTTTTTCTCTCTTAAATTTACATTTATTTATTTATTTATTTATTTATTTATTTATTTATTTATTTATTTATTTATTTATGTATCTAACCCTAAAGGAAGCAAAGTTCAGAAATCTTTAAACTTGACTTTTTTTCATTTTTACTATAAGAAATTCTTATATTTCAACAGCTGAGCTTGTTTTGTTTTTTTATATCCACTATAAAAGAAACAAGTTGTGGTGCACCGTAACACAGACCTCAATTACCCCACCCCGTATGTCAGCCTATGGAGCCGTTGGAAAGTAACTGAGTCTCCTGTGCTTGAGAAAATAGAACTGCAATAAATCCAGCAAACACTTGAATGATTGTTCTGATCATCTATTGTGTTCCAAGTTTCCACCTAAAAGCTCTTTAGAAATTATTTTGTAGAGTAAAATTACTTAAAATAAATTGTGTAATTTTTTGGTAGAAGATAAAGAAACACGCCTTTTACGCTTTTTTTATTTAAAAATTACAGTTGTCCCGATGACTCAATGCAATGACTTTCCTCCATATTTTTTTTGTCACTTTAGACAAAGATAATTTTTTTGATATATGTCACTAAAATATAGCATCCATAAAATGGAGAATTTGCCATGAGGACAAGTGGGCTTACATTAGGTGTACCTCTCTCAAAGTCCTGTATTTACAACTTTGTTAGACTGTCAACATATCAAGTCATCTGAGACACAGATTTGTATATGCATATAAATCATAATTCAAATATACCTGCATATTTTGTCACATTAACCCACCAATATTTGTCCTCCCACCTGCTCTGTCTCTTCCAGGTTGTGCTTGTTTTGCTTTCAGTCTGTTTTTGTCTGAATTCTCTTCCTGTCATCTGCTGCCGCTCTGCTCTCTTTCCCCTGTAACCATGGAAATGAGATCAACATGCAAATACCTGAACACACTCCGAGGCTTGTGTGATGAGAGATGCAAATTGCATCCGCTTGTAGGATTACACACCCACACACACGCAGATTCGTGTTCAGACTTATGCACTCAGACGCACATGCATGCAGAGACGTAAGCACTCCCACCTGCAGTTCTTTAGCACCAAAGCCGGAGGTGGTGTTACAGGTGAGTTTTAAATACTACAAGATTAGATAAAGGGTTGGTAACTGTAATAAAGCCAAGATCAAAGAAACGACGGTGTGATGATCTGCATATTGATTCTACACTTAAATATATCCTATAATCAGGATTTTAATGTTAAGTTCATGGGAAAATATATAATATCTATTAGGTTTTCTTGTGAAATAAAACAGTTTTGTTTAACCGACAACCTCCCAGCATGTAACTGACAGCTAGGTTAAATTTTATTGCCCTTAATTGACAGCAAAAAGCCCCAATCTCAAAAATGTCAGTATTAAAAACGGCCAAACATGCTGACTTCCATGTTGTAATGACATCATGTTTTTATTACAAATACCAGAAGAAGATAAAAAGGTCAATGACCTTAAAGGACTACTCTTCATAATTCCTGCAGCAATGTGTACAGATGTGTACATCAATGCTAAAAATAGGCTTTTCACTGGCTATCTGATACTGTCTCAACAAACAGGATTATGTTAATGAAAACAATCCTTTGAAGGCTTCCCTTCCTGTAAAACCAAGAAAAATACAGTTTTTTCTCAATAAAACTAAAGATTCCCAAGTTTTGCTTTTTTTTTGTTTTTTTGTTTTTTACAAACTTGGTATATCATAAGTAACAAAGTACCCGTATAGAGCTAAGTTTTTTTCTCAACCTTTAAAAAACTGATAGAGCACTGATTGATGCATAAGGAATATGAAACATGGCTGTCTACCCAAGCCTACATGAGAGCAGTCAGAGGAATGAGAGGATGCATCATCCCTGTGGTGAGATATATTGGTGAGAAGCGTCCTGCTGTGAGAAAAAGCTTTTCTTCTGCAAATAAATAAAAGCTGGTAAGAAATTATGACAAGACAAGCTGAACTAAATACACAGTTATTCTGTGATAAGCAGCCAAAACTGCAATGGATTGGTGTAGATCAAAGGTTATAATGTGTAATAATGGCCTAGTTAAAGTTCAGATCTATATCCAAACAAATAACCCTTTTGTAAGAATTGTAGATTACGGTTCAGAGGTTGTCCTTCCAGTGCGACTGAGTTTGATTACATTTACAAACAGATATAGACTTAGACAGATTTATTTTGTCATTTTGTATACACAAGTGTAGAAAGAAATTTCGTTTAGAACAGCTCTCTCTAGACAATTTCATTTTTTTAAATTGCAGCCTTGATAAGGTAAGCAGCAGTTGTTGTTTAGCTGCTACTACTGCCTCCAGTATGCAAGATATGCGAGCAGCTGATCAAAATCTACAATATACTACAACATGTTGACTTGGCATGCTTTAATTTTTTTTAAACCTTTATTTATCATTATCTCCCTTTTGTCTCCTCTTTCTTTCATCTTTTCTCCTTTTTTTCAGTTTTTCCTCTTCTGTTTTACTTACATTGCAGCGTCCATATAATCTGTAAAACTCTCTGCATTAATTAAAATAAAGCAGTTTATATGCATGAAACAAGCGGAACACTATGGCAATAGCCGTACTGCTCCACTTGAGAAAGTAAAATCTGTTGGGCTCTTTTTGGCATCAAGACAATTATTCTTATTGCTACATACAGACAGGACACTGTAAAAAAAAACAAAAAAAAACTATTTAAATAAAAAATAAACATTTGAAATATTTTTTTTTGTTTCATGTCACTATTGTGATGATTTGAGTTGGTTTAGCACATGAAATACTAATAAAATACATCAATGCGTGAGGTTCAAACTGGACAAATGTGGAAAAAGTGATTAATTTTGTACTTTTAGGATACACACATTTTTTTTATCCCACACCTAAAATTCATTTTTATTAGAAAATAATTAAGCTTTTTTTCTCTTTTACCTTTAAAATAGAAAAAGGAAGTTGATCTGCAACATTGATAGAGACAGTAGAGTTTATGAGCTGACTTCTGGTGTTTCATTGTCGCCTTCAGTTTCATTGATGTCTTTTTCTTTTTTTTTCTTGAATGAATACCCAGGAGCTTCGTGATTGGCTGCGCTGGTTGACGTCACCTCCGCCGTGACGCGATGGACCCATTCATAAAATAAAAAAAGAGAAAAACAAGAAAGAAGAGTTCTTAGGATAGACACACAGAGATAGGAGAGGAGAAAGAGCGAGAAGCTGAATGGACAGCATGATGCGCGGATAGAAGAGAGGAGGGGGAATCCATCACAGGACCTGCGCGCTTTCTTCTGCTCCTAAAGGAGAGCAGATAAACACCAGAGAACCCCCTTTATTTACACAAACCTGCATCGAGCTGCGATGGAAGAGCTGTGCGAGATGGATTGCACGGTGCTGAAGCGGCTCCTGAAGGACGACGGCGGCCGCTTCCTGCTGCTGGACTGCCGCTCCTTCCTCGCCTTCAGCGCCGGACACATCCGAGGCGCAGTGAACGCGCGCTGCAACACCATCGTCCGCAGGAGGGCGAAGGGCTCCGCGCTGAGTCTGGAGCAGGTCCTGGCCGGGGATGAGGAGGTGCGGGGCCGCCTGCGCTCCGGGATGTACTCCGCTGTGGTGCTTTACGACGAGCGGACGCCGGACTCGGAGTCTGTGAAGGAAGACAGCACGGTGACCCTGGTGCTGAACGCGCTGCTCAGGGACTCCCAGGGAACACTAGTTTATCTGCTCAAAGGTAGATTATCTCTCATTTAGAGCATGCTTTCAAGCAAAATAAACGAAAAAACAACAACAACAAAACAAACATCCATATTTTTTCACCCTTATAAATAATTAATATTTGCCATTTATATTACACATTACAGATTAAAATCATTTAATGCACAATATACAGCGCATAAACCATATCTTTTTACACAAAAATATAGGATAAATAAATATACATATATGCAATTAGTAAGTACAAAATATATATTCTGTCATATATGTCTAAAATGTAAAGGTCATTAATGATATTTCACTATTTCTTATAAGAAATAAGGGGACTTTAAAAGAGGCCCTCTCTCTCAATCAGCCTCATCCAAATCCACGCACTCATATGAGCCGATGAGGTAATGCTGGTGCGTAGCTACATTAAGGATACACAGCATACAATCATCTCACAAGAAGTCCTTTATGGGGCGTGCAAATAGGGAAAAGGGTTTTAATATGTCAGCAAAAAGACAACATTGAAAAGTCAGATAACATGTTTAATATTCTGAAAGAGGAATCTGCTGCAAGTGTTGGTGCATCTTTTTTTCTGTCTGTGTGTATGCCTGCATCCTAATGATGCAGACGGCTTGAAGCACAAGGGGTGAACATGACACATGATGGTTAATGCGGTTTGACAGAAGCTGCAGTTGGATATTTTCCTTTTGAAGGAAATGCCTTAAATTGACAGAAAGCTGATTATGTTGTGAGATCCTGCAGCTGAATGTGTTTGCACTTCATCTCTGAATATGTGGATGGCCCATTAATATAGATATATCTTGTTTCTTTTTTCTTTCCAGGAGGATACGACAGATTTTTCACAGAGTATCCAGAGTACTGCTTAAAAAACAAATCCTTGCCGTCCCTCAACAGTCAGTCCAGCATCGATTCCTGCTCATCGTGTGGGACTCCACACAATGATCAGGTACAACTATCATTCTGAGCCTGAATATAGATAGAAATGCTTAATAAATCTGATGTACTTTATGTAAAGCACACCTAACATACAGGATATATTGAATTATATCCATTTTAATTGATATTTAATGATAACCTGAAGTTTTATTGCTTTTTTCTCCATTTTACTTGACATGCATCATTATATTTGCTATTCTCACCGATTTGCCTTATGTTTATCCATTTGTTCCATTTTATTTGCTTTCTTTTTGGTTTCCATCTCCTTTATATTAATGCTCTACAAGTTAAATGATAGAATAGACACATCTTTACAGAGTGATTCTGGTTCTAAAAATATGTTTTTATATTTCTCTAGCTTGGGTATAGCCTACATTTAGCTGCTTAACACACATTCCTGTTTGTAGTTTAATCTTGTAATTTATTTAGTTGCATCTCATTACTGTGTTTGTTTTTATGAGACCAGAAATTTTCATAAAGAGGAATATTTGTGTTTCCTTTCCACCAAATAAAGGGAAAATTGAAGTAGCCTTCTGTGTGACTTTTATAATCTGACCTACAATTTATTGCTGCCTGTCCATCGTCTCTTACTGAGCACTGGCTGTCAGCTGGCTGAAAATCAGGCTACAACACTTTCCCTTTGCTCCAGAGAGACAATTTAAGCTGTTTTAAAATGCTTGCTTAGATATATAGTTTGGGGGAATAAATCTGAATCGGTTTGTGATTCTGATTACTGTTTAAAGAGTTAAACCACCAAAATGGATCATAGTTTAAACAATAAGCACTGAAACCTGCTACTAAACTTAGCAGGTTTTTATTCTATATTTTGCGAAAGTATTCATATCAAAACAACAAAATGTTTTGATAACTGTAAAACTCAATATTTATGTTAACTTTAACATTTTCTGTTGTACTCTTACCTAAGATATAGTGAGACAGACCCCAGAGCAGTGAGCGGTAACACTTCATTAAAGGAATCATGTATAAAATGTTAGTAACTGACATATTTTTTACGTCTCTTTGAATTGATTAACGTGCCTTAAAATCAGTTACCAAATAGAGTGGGCTGAAAGTCGCAGTTCAGCATCGATTCAGCTCTCGATCACTTCCTGTGAACTCCCTGGCCTTGTTTTTTTTTTTTTTTTTTTGTGGGACAGTGATCTGTTTGTTTAAGCCAACGGATTTTACGCAACTCTCACAGTCACATGTGCTATGGGTTTAATTCCCCTGGAATTCACGAGGGCAAGAGACTCAGGCTACCCGGCCTCTCTGTGCATGTCTGTGTGCTCCCAAGAAAATCACTTCATTGTTTCTCTGCCCGTGTTGTCAGGTGCATTTTTTAATTGATGTAAGAGGAAGCTGCAACTTCCTGTGGCGGCGTGAATATGATGGGGTGACTGCAGCTCGCTCTGCATCTTTTAGCTGTATTGATCATTTCCTGTCTCTGTGTCAGTACCAAATTCGTCAACGGCAGTGACATAAACAGAGCGAGCTTTTTGTCAATAAGCTGTGCTGCTGCTATAGACTCCTGCTGACTGATTGACCTCTCGCATCCAGTAAAACAGGGGCTCTTTAACTCAGTGTTCATTAGGTAATGTTTCCACAGGGGGTTTAGTGATAGATTTAAGACCAGATCAGAGTTTTATATGAAAGGAGCACAAAGGGGAATATTTATGTAATATTTGATCAACAAGTTAATTCTTCACCCAATTCAGAGCAGCACAGGTCTTATGTTGCAGCAGATTTTTTTTCATTAATATTCATAATCTCAGTGCGTTTGCTTCTTGCTGTGGCATTGCAGCTGCAAGCGTACCCTGCTCAACCACATTTAAAACACGACGGTAGTTCAGCCGGATCGTCTGGTTTCATCAGGTGATCAACATGAGCCATAAATATACCCCCTGATCTGTTCCTCACAGAGATAATAAGCACATCCTATCTGATTAAAAAGCGTTGCAAATGCACGAAAATGTGAAGTCGGGGTTGAGACACTGGATAGTGAATCCTAGGTGTCTCCAATGTGAATCAATTGGTTAGTTCAGCTGTTTTATTAAAGCCTTCCATGTGTTCTTCCTTCCAGGGCGGCCCCGTCGAGATCCTTCCGTTCCTCTACCTCGGCAGTGCCCTTCACGCCTCCAAGAAGGAGGTCCTGGACAGCATCGGGATCTCCGCCTTGTTAAACGTGTCAGCTGACTGTCCCAACCACTTCGAGGGGACTTACCAGTACAAATGCATCCCTGTGGAGGACAACCACAAAGAAGACATCAGCTGCTGGTTCCTGGAGGCCATAGAGTTCATAGGTCAGTGTCTGATGGGGGGTGATTAACATGACATGACAGGAGTGCTAATAAAAAAAATGTTTTTTTGCTTTGTTCCAACAAAAATGCCTAAAATGGTCATGTTAAAATAATTTTTTCAAAAGTTAGCATGCAAATGAACTGAAAGTTACACATTTCTTCAGGAGATCAAACAGTTTGCATATGCAAGTGTTCGTTTCAATTATTACCTTTTAGCGCCTTTTGTTTTCAGGCACATTATGTAGTCAAGTGTGCTTTTGGTTTGCATATCCCCACTGTGCGCTAAGACTGTGTGTTAGCATGGGCTCTGATGGATGTGTGTGTGTGTGCAGGTGAAGGTTGCTGGTATGCGTCATAGTTAGCTGCTGTGGGACCAGAGTCTGACTCATCCGGTGTTACCGAGTGAACAGACGCCGTACTGGAGCTAGATCTGAATCCGTCTGTGCCAGAGCGTTTGATAAAGAGGGAGATTTAGGAAACGTGTCAGGGATGGGTGGGTTTAAAAAGCTATACGGCCTTTATAATTTCCTTGAATAGTAAAAGAAAAAAAATAAATCTAAGCTATTGAAATCCATCATTATACTCTTAGGTTCAGGCTTTCTGCAGGCAGCCACACATGATGGAAAACAAAATGCTGTAATCAAACCTATTCCAGGTTATTTATCCTGAGAAGGTGAGAGCATGTATGCAGGCTGCGACGGAGCCATAAATAGGCCAGGAGAGGAGGTGCAGATCATTTAAATGTTGCACTTGTGTTTTTCACTTACTGTAAATGTAATTTGCAGCATTCTCACTTTGAGGTTAGTTATCGGTTTGAGAGCACAGAGAGGCATGAAAGTGCGTAGGAGAGGAAGAAACGAAAGCTGTTTTAGGGGAGGCGTCACTGTACATCTGTTGTGAGAAAAGTACTTGCAGGGTATTGTTTGCACACTATTTATGCAAAATATAAAATGAATTATCTTAATATCCAGTAAAGATGTAGTGATCCTGATCTCTCAGTGAAAATCCTTACTGAAAAGCCGGTGCAGAAACAAAATGTCCCCTTAAATCATAGAATTTGGTAGCAGGGAAGATTGAATTTCATATTAAACTAGTTGCAGCTCAGTTAACAAAACACTGAACACATGTATAGATGACAAACTTGGTTTTATGAGCCAGAAAATGGTTTAGCATTAATGTAGCTTTGTTTGATTTATTTGGACAAATTCAGTAAATCTTAAAAAATAACTCTAAGATTAAAAGAAATAAACTTGAAGTACTTTCACCTTTTAATGGTCACTTTAGTTTAATTCAGCTGTGTGTAAGGGGGGTGCTTTTCCAAAACACTGCTGTAATCAGGTGTATTGGAGCAGGCACAGGAAGGAAAACTGGGCCTCTTGTGTGCATGGTTATTATTAGCATCCTCCTCTGATCTGTGCTCCCTCTGTGTTCTCAGATTCAGTACGGGACTCAAGTGGACGAGTTCTGGTCCACTGTCAGGCAGGCATCTCCCGCTCTGCCACCATCTGCCTGGCGTACCTGATGAAGAGGAAGAGGGTGCGTCTGGACGAAGCATTCGAGTTTGTGCGGCGCCGCCGCAGCATCATCTCGCCTAACTTCAGCTTCATGGGCCAGCTGCTGCAGTTCGAATCCCAGGTCCTCGCCACCTCCTGCGCCGCCGAAGCTGCGGCCACAGCCAGTCCGCTGCTCGGACCCAAATCCACAGTGGCCACAAGTTCCACGGCCGCCACTCCCACGTCCCCGTTCATCTTTAACTTCCCTGTGTCTGTGGTGAACCCGGCCTACCTGCACCACGGCCCCATCACGACCTCCCCCGGCTGCTAATGGACAGCCTTACCCTGACTCGAAGCGAGAGCTCCAGACCTCTGCAGTATGTCCTTACTTCCACAACATGGAGTCGAGAAGCGTCACGGTGCCTGAGAAGGACTCTTTTTGAACTTCACAAACCAGCCGACGCTCCGTCAGTTTTCACAAGAGATTTATTCCTGTCGACCAAAAATGAAATGTCTTTTCTAGAATCGTTTCATGTTCACATGGAGTGTTGGGCTGACGTTCACTCACTTTTCTTCCAACGTGCACAGAGACACACTTCCACACACAGAAACATAACACGGTGAGGCCTGAGCAGCGGCGAAGCTATCTTCCCCTCTCTCCCACGCACACGTTCATGCCTGTTGACTGAATAAGCTCAGTATGAAGATAGCTTGTTTCTATGGAGACGAGGTCTTTAGGAGAGGAGATGGACACAGGAAGGAAGGGGGGAATTTTAAGCGCTCCCTCTTTCCTCCTCGGGTGTCCCTCCTGTCGCCGGACAAAGTAGATGGATGGAGAAGAAAGGAGGGAGAAAAAAAAAGAGGGTGACAGAAAGCAGGAGCCTCTTCAGTGACAGGTGTTCTGCCGGGGATCCGACCGGAGCTTCCTGCCCTTCACACGTCCTCTTCCTCTCCTCTCATCTCCCTTTTCATCCCTTTATGCTTCCTCCCTCCTCCTCATCCTCTCATCTCTGGCTCTCATCTTAGACCCCCCCCCATCCCCATTCCCGGTTTTCTTCTCTGCTCTTCGTTTTCTCACTGAGGTTAAAAATAAATAAAACAAGATGCCAAATAAAAAAGGCTGGGGCCCCTCGAAAATGGACCGGGAAACCCCCTGACACCACAGAAAAGCCCTTTTTAATCCTATATGAATATTTTTAGGCAAAAGGGCTCAAAGTTGTGGAAAAAATGGTTTTCTAAAGGTTATAATAAAAAGAATTTGGGGGTATTTCCTTTTTTTTATTTGATCAAACTCCCTGAAATAGCCTGTTATAGAACCATAATTTTTTAAATACATTACAGAATATATTCTAAACAACTGATACAGAACACAGTGGCTCCTGTTTGGTGCCTTGAAATTTTCCTTTTTGGTTAACTAGCAAAAATAAGCATTGGTGTCAGCGGATGGTCCTTTAAGATGCTTGTGCCTTGTTCGTTGAGGTATCCCCAGCAAATGCTTGGGCTTTTCTTTTCTCTTTTTTTGTGTTACGATAACAGGACAGAAGAATGCAAAATGTTTGGCAGACCTCTAGAGGTGCCTAATAGGCATGGGCTGGTATGAGATTCTCATATAGTCAAAAATGCAGCCATCTAAAAAAAAACTTAATTTAAAGCAGGATACTTAAATCTAAACACAAATCTACAATAAACACTTAATAAATTGAATTTTTAGTTTTCTAGTGTCTACTGTGGAGAATATTAGAATATTTTGACATTTTATTAAGATATGGACAATAAAGTAAATTGTGCCAAAGTCTTCAATATTAGAATTTGTAAGATACAGGTGGAGATAAAATACAGGATTTAAAGTTTTGACTTTTGATATTTATAAAATTAGTAACTGGTCAGCATATTGCTTTTGATTAAGATCATCATTTTTTGAATGGAGGTATGATTTTAACATCTGTTTAAATGACAGTTTATCGTGGTTTTTATTTCAAACATAAGTGTAAGCTTTTGATTCACCATACTGAAAATACTTCTGTATAGGGATGAGTTAGGTAATTTTGCAAATGAGGGTCTAGTGAAAAAGCCTTTGATTATGGCAGCATATAGGATCTGTAACCGGCCCATGCCCATTCCACCATCGACATTAATTCAATTACCTATTTATTTATTGATTTTATTCTTGTATTGATACACCCAAACAAGAGCCCTTTGATATTTATTAAAAAAATAACACAATTGGGAATCAGCCATTGCATTTCAAAACCAGTCAAGCACAAAAAAGTCATTACATCACGATTCGCGAGCTCTCCTGCATTGCTAAAGTATCAGGCGAAGATGAACACTGTGTTAGACCAACAAAGGCAAAAAAATAATCATTTTTATACCAGACTTGAAGCTAACACGAACAAGCATAGACTCACAAACATGTTTAGGTTTTTAAACTTTCTTTTTTTTTTGTATTTTATTTTTATTTTTTTTTTAAGATTGCCGGCACCTCTCTCTCTGTGTAGCACTTTGAAGTGATGCAATACTGTATTTGTAATTTATTGGTTGATTTGCACATTGTTGGTCATGCAGGACTGACTCGATCTTTGTATTGAGGAGAGGGCAAAAGGGGGGGCCGTTGAGTGAAAAATGCAATACTTTGTACAGATGTGTGTGGTTTGTATCTGTACATCTCAGTATGCCTCTCTGTGTGCAGACCCATCTGTATCTCTCCCTCCTACTGTCTCTGGTCCACCATGGCAATATCAACCTTCCAAATGGAAAAAAAATGTCCCTCAGTTTCTTTGTGGAATGAATGACCTGTGCATTTATTTATTACTGGAGATATACTGTTGAATAAACAATGTTCTTAAATAACCTGTTTATTGGTTCTCTGATTTATTCCACTTCTTTGCAGCTGCATACACAATGGCCTCAGAAAATGATGCAGAACAAAAGGATACAGCAAATATTACAGGAAACCCATGGGAGGAGGGAAGCTGATTTTATTTTTTATGTGTTTTTGTATTGCTTTCTCATACCGAACTTCCAGGGATTTCGTTTTAAATGTTGATCATTTAAAATAAGGAACATCTTTACAAAAACTATTCAAATATTCCTGAAATGGATGGAACAAAAATAATCAGAAACAACAACAAATGTTATGAAAAAGAAAATCACGAAAAATGATTAGGCAGCACCACCCACTGGTGATAACATGAACTGTCATTATTTTTGGTAAACTCAGAAATAACATTACTAAGGCGTTGATTCTTGCAAATACAGTATCACTTCTTATCCAGTATAAAGAATGCAACAGCGCCATATTGCGTAATGGTCAAAAGTGTGCTGAATCCGTAGTGGGTTACTGTTGGTTAAGAGATGGAAACAGCGCCCCCAAAATAACACGTGTGGCCAAAAGGTGTATTACATCCGTAGTGGGTTACTGCTGTTGGAAAAGATGTGGAAACAGCGCCCCCAAAATCAAGCTTGTGGTCAAAAGGTGTATTATATCCGTAGTGGTTAGGGAATCCATTAGGAAATGAACTGGAAAGGTTTTCTTTTTTTGGTTTGTTTATTTTATGTACTAAGGTTGTGTTTATACTCAGATAAATTGACATACAGTATGTACTGTTTGGATATGACAAAAATATTTTAGAGTCATGTAATAATGTCGAACCCTCACTTAATTTTTATTATTATTTAATTTTCCTTTGAGATTAATCAAGAAGTTTTATTTTTTTTAATTAAATAATTACATATGTATGTGTCATAAAGGTTTGCTTTAACATCAAGAAATGATCACTAAAGTCAAAAAAACAGTTGAACATTTTTGGCTACATCAAATTAAAAACAGAGCTATGAGTCAATTTTAATGCACCATTAGTCTTTTCACAAAAAAGCAATAAAAATCATCATTGGGGCTGCATACAGGGATCTCCCTGATTCATTGTTTTTAGGTTCAAAGCTGCTCAAATATACAGATGTGGCTCTGCTAACAATGTTTAAAACAAAATAAGAATTACCAGCTAATACAAAGAAATGATTGACAGGGAAGAGTGTTGTGATTTAAGGGGAAAGGATAACTTGCAAATGTTTCTGTAAACCTCTGGAATGGTTCTAAGGTGGATTCAAAGGATGTCCAAACATGAAACAAGAATATAAAGACATATAATTTAAAAGATATCCAGATTAATGGTGTTGTGAATTACTGTGTTAATTTTATATAAATATATCTGGGAATATTTCAGTGCCTTAATTGTTGTATATTGATTCTTAAACAATTATTTTTGGGAAATACATATTTAGTGTTATTTAGCTATTAGTTTAATTGGCAGAGAGTGAATTAATTAATATGTTGGGATTCTTCTTTTAGTTTGGACAGTTTTAGACTACATTTTATATATTTTTTCCTCTATGCTTTTTTTTGTAATTTTTTTATTGTATCTCCTTTCATTGCATGGTTTTCTTATTAGTGGAGGACAACAATATACTTGTGTTAATTTGTATGCATGTTTGAAATAAAAAAGTCTGACTGATATCTAGTTACATTCACTCTCCAGCCATTCTATTAGGTCTACCTGTTCAACTGCCTGTGAGAACAAAATGTAGACTCAGGAAATCATATGGCAGCATCTTAACACATTAATGTGTGGAAGGTAATTTCAAGTTCAAACCTCACATCGTCATATTGTCGTCTCATTATTTCTGTGTAGAGTATGGTCTCCAAAAGAGAAAACTATCCAGTGAGCACCAGCTGTCAGGATAAAAAGGACAAATAGATTGACTTTTTACAATTGAGATATCCAGAATATCATATCCTAAGGCAATGATTCCCAACTAGGAGTATTCGTACCCCCAGTGGTCTGCAAGAGCATTGCAAGGGGTACATGAAAATATTTTATTTCTTCGGTGGTCAAATAAAATAGGGCTGGGATCTGTTTTGCTTTGTGGGTACCCAATAGAAAAATTAAACAAGCTTTTATCAACCAAACAGTAACAAACAGAACAGGAGTTCAGCTTCAGCTGTGACACACATCCAAACCAGGCAGAGGAACAGACTGGATGTAGAGAATAGCCTGGGATCAGGCTGTCTGACACTGAGCTGTCAAAGCTCCCCAAAGCAGCTCAGGTGTCTTGATGAAAACAGATTAAAACTAATCAAATCAGTCTAACTATAATAAGAGTTGCTTATTGTATTTCTGCTTCTGTCTCCTTGAACCCGTCGGCCTCGGCAGATGGTCGCTCACACTGAGCCTGGTTCTGCTGGAGGTTTCTTACTGTTAAAAGGGAGTTTTTCCTCTCCACTGTCACTACAAGCATGCTTAGTGTGAGGAATTGCATTCGAGTCAATGAGTCGATGCAATCAACTGTTTTTCCTTAGATAGAAAACTTTGAATCAATTTGACTGAATGATCTGGTGAACTGTAATGTGCCTTGAGATGACGTGTTGTGAATTGGCACTATATAAATAAACCTAATTAAATTATATTTTGTACCAGAGGTTTTGGCTGCTGATTGCAGCATTCTGACATAGGGAATATTTTCTTAGTACTAATCAAGCATTAATCAAAAACCACCTCCTGAGTGCAGTTGCTGGTCATGTCCATCTCTAACCAGAGTACCAGTCATCACATGCTAACTCCCAGCAGGCCATTCACCACGTCACACAATTGTTGTATGCCAGCATGAAAAGAAGCTCCCATTTCTCCAGGATCCTGCACAGCCTACAGATTGTAACCATAGGCGACATTTGGGATGTTTTGAAATGGGACATTGGTTTATTCACATGCAAATTAAAGATTTGTTATTCTGATGTTAAAATATCTTAGAAAAGTTTGAAAAACCTTATTGAATCATTTTTATGAACAGCTAAGGTATTTCTGAAGGTAAAGGGAGACAAGAAATTGCTGTCCAGTGTAGATTAAACATGGTCAGATCCTCACACTGGAGCAGCTCAGCATCCATCTTATACCAGACTCACAAATTGGCAGCATTAATACACAATTCCAGTCAAAAATATCCAAATTCAAATTTAATTAATCTAAATTTATCAGTTTATTTAGCAAATTTAGGCAATCTTCAATCTATTTATAAATTTAGCAATTTATCTAAAATATCTGAGACATTTCTAAACAATAGTTCAAAAATATTTAAATTAATATAATGAAGGGGTATGTTCCATGACGTTTGTTTTACATTCATTGTTTTTAAAGGGTGTTTAAAAATAATAGTACAGAGTAGCAAAAGTTTATGTCAGCTGATTACCTTCATTTGCAGAGAAGAAAACTGTATTCTGTCCTTCAGGTCTTAACATGTTTTATAAAGAACAGAATGATGGATTAAATCATTCACTTCTACTCTACCTACTTCTAGTCTAGATTAGTATTTCATCAGTTCAATATTTTCCTGACAATATTATAATTTTTGAAATAACATGCAACTAATTTGGTAATGGAATCGTTTCCCAGCTTAGGGGTCATGAAATTTAGGGGTTCCTTAAATTTGGGGGTTGGGGCCACCTGCAGGGGTCACAGGATGATTTTTCTGCAATCACTGTGATCTGATCCCTGACATATAAGAAATGTTCCATACATTATGTAAATGTGCCATGAAAAAAGTGGAAACTAAGCGTTAAATTCCATGAAATAAATCGATGTAACATTTATTTATTCCAATAACATACTATTAACATGTACTTTTAGAGCGACACCGGTCTGTTGCATCATTATTTTTGGGTTCAAAGGCTTAAATATTTGGGGACACCTGATTTAATTGGGCATTTTTACAATTTGATGGTATATTGAATATTTTAGTAAAAAAATAAATATGACATCTTTATATTTCATGGGGCATTCTGTATACCTTAGGGATAACGTCAGTGATTCTTAAAATCTCCCAGTTGCTGTTTCACCCCCCCTTTAGAAACCCACTGACCTAGAGCTATGATACACTGACTCTAAAACATGATTAACCAAAATGGAAATCTCTACATCAGCAATTTATTTAAAATCGTTTTCTGTGTTCCAAATATTTTTCCAAATATTTGTATATTCAGAAATATTAATTTACTAAAATTATCGTTTTTTTTAGATTAATTGAAAAAAAAAATCTTATATTATTTACTAAAATAATCAATAGCTGTAGCCCTAATATATATAGTTATTTAAAAAGTTGCTATTCTTAAGTATTTAAACAGACAAGAACCAAACAAACAAAGAGTTAAAATCATTTTTTATTAAGTCATTTTCTTCTGTACAGGAGTTTTTCTGTTTCACTTAAGGTCTGTACAACCATCTGTACAACAGCAGGTCGAACATAATGGATGAGGAAAAATGTTAGTTCGTCTGCTGCTTTGGGCAGTCAGAAAATGAGCGTGGATTTATTTTACAAACACAGACACAGTCCCTCCAGTATGTACACAAAAACATGTCTGACCAATGAGACAAGACCAGCAAGAGACGGACTAGTTTAACCGAACAAATGAGTCAATAAAACTGTTTTTACAGAAAAATCATCCATTAAAAGGCCAATCTGGCTTTTTTTTATATTTAAAAAACAGTAATTCAATTAATTATGTTAATGTCTTTTTTTGTTGCTTGAGCCAAAAACATTTTACACATCATGGAGGGACACAACAGATTTGTTACATAACATGATCAAAAGTACTTTTTCTTTTCAATGTGAACTGTGTTCTACATCATCAAATGGGCGTTTCCATGCCAACCTAATTTCATGCTTATCAGTTTTTCCCATTTTCTCCATCAGTAATTTATTCCGTCCAGTGGTTCATTAACTTTCTGCTATTTTCTGTAATGAATTGAGTTTGTCAAACGGTCTCATTGCTCACTGGATTTCTGTTAAGGAGAACGGTTTCAATTCTCCAAAACCAGGAGGACTAAATGCTGAGTGGAAAACTGATATTTCTAAACTGCATAAACATCAGAAAAAAAGATGTGTATCTCATTAGAGCAAGTAAGATTTTTGGCTCTTTAAAAAAAAAAAAAAAAAAAAAGATGTAGAAAAGATGGAAACCAGCAGTCGCTTTTTCAAGTTTAGCGAAACATACATTACAGATTAAAATCCAGACTTTTCCAGATTATGTTTTTCAGACTTTTAAAACTTTTCTTTTTAATTTTAAAAAAAGAGAATAACATTGCTTACAATGAATGCAAGACTGATAATTATATAGTGGTGAAAACCTGGGAAATACAGTGAGTTGAAGGAGAAAATTAAGAAAGAAAAGAGATGGAGGAAGTAAGGAAAGAGGGTAGGAAGGATGGATCAGAAATCGAATCTAAAAATAAAAATTCTGAATACATTTTTCTCCAAACTATGTAGAAAATAAACAGAAGAATATCAGAAAATATCAGAAGAATGAAACTCAGTGACATCTGGATTAATATGGTCCCATCTGGCGCAGGGTGGGATTATTAGGAACTACCCAATAATCAACAGGAGAATGTGGTCAGCAATATAAAAAAAGAAATAGAATGTATATAATGTGTTATAAAACAGGAAAACTTTTGTTTCTAGACAGCATGTGTTAACCTCTGCTTTATCCAACTGAGAACATGTAGCATAAATAAACAGCATAGATCTGTTCAGTCTGTGACCTGAATGGCTCAGTGAAATGTGGTGAAAAAAACCTTAATATTTACAACTATCCATCAGCTCTTCATTAATGCCCTCCTGAATTATACAGCTGAAATAAAAGGAAACCCTTTCACTCATTAGCACAAGCAGGCGGTTACACTGTTAAGCCACTAGGGGGCGGCAACAGATAACAGCCAGAGAGGAAAGGGCCTAAAAGGCAGCAGGTTCATGTAAACAAACACACCTTTCAAACATCTCAGAAACATTACATGATACAGTATTTTATTTTTTATTTTTAAAGAAACTAGCTTCACATGTGAATGTAGATGTGTAACTAAGGAGAGGCACCTTTCGTCTTCAACTTTTAAATCCCGTACATTCAATTACTTATCATTATACATCCCAAACAGCCCAAAAAAACAAATTTATTTTTTTTTTATTTTCAATTAAAGATTTACCCTCTGGACTTTTGGTGTATCTGGTATCTGACATCACACACTGGGTGTAGTGTTACTCTTTAAAGTATAAGCACATATGTGAAGGAGGCTGCAACTCAAATGCATTGCCAGTGTTAAAGCAAATAAACAGAAATGTTTTTCCATTCCTCACAATAGTGTCTTTAATTGATGCCAAACAAACTGTCTGTGTTTATGTGCAAATGTGAGTTAATGCCTGGATAGGCACCATTAGGTATTTTAATGTTTTACAACACTAAGCATTTTTTTAGTATTTTATTGCGATTTAAAAAGGAATTTGTTATGTTTTTTTATGAGAAAAGTGAGGAACGACTAAATATAGGTTGGATTAGCACTCATCGCCTCAAAAACATCCTAATCTCTGAAATTATTCAGGATTTTAAATGAAAAGCATTAACTCTACAGGACTAAAACCCATAAAAAACATTCCAGGAGCTTTTTTTTACATAACAGCTATAATTCTGCATGTGTTTCATGAGAACCCTGTAAGTTATTTTTAGAGACAAAATAAAAGTAAAAGTGTGCCATTCATTTTGTAACCAACAGCGCAGACAGACACCTTCATGACACCTTCATGAGTCGCCCATTCGGGGAAAGCCTTGGTGTGATTTTTGGATTTCTGTTTGAAGGCCTCGGCGTTTATTACAAGACATTGGTAAACAAACAGGACAAGTACCAAGAAAAAATTTAACTTTCCCTTGAATATTATGACTTTGTGTCTGTCTATAACGTCGGATCCTAATTGAACACGTTGAAGGTTGTGGTTTTAATGAGATAAAATGGGGAAAAGCTCCGTGGCTATGGATACATCTCCAAACCACTGAATGTATTATCTTTACTTCTGGCATCCATATTTCTGCTTTAATGTTTCCTGCCTGCTACTTAAATGAGCCGATTTATTCCAACAGCGTGGTGCAAAACAAAGCTGGTCCCTTTAACAGACTATAGCAAAACGTCTGAAGCAGTTGATTGTGGTCCGACTGTGTCCCGTTAGGCTTTGTTTTGTTTCCGGCTCTGGAGTATCGGATTTTTATGGCGCTCTCTTATTTCTCCTTAGATCTATTTCACGCTGTCTTCATCTGCCTTGTTCTGTCCGACTGGGTGGAAATGTATGATTAAGTGCTCTGAATTTCTTTTCCCTCAGCATGACTATTGCTAAATTTCTCGTGAGTGATATAAAATGGAAAAGGAGGATTTGTTATCAAAACAAACCATTAAAACGTGAGGATAAGCAGCACACAGGTACCAATGCAGTAAAGCCTGTTTGGATGTGACTGAGCTGTTAAACAGCTGAACAATCTGCTTTCCTTCTCAGAATCAGTGTAGATAAGGATGGATTTCTGCTGTCTGTTCACTCTGGACTGAACATCAGAGCCTCAAAGCCCGACTCAACCTGCTTTTCTAGCACATTTTAGCATGTTTCAGGGAACACTACAATACAGCCACCGCAGACTCAGCTCCAACAGGATGAACTGATTTCCCCTTCTGGACTTCTCGTCTGTTCAGTAAGTTGTTCTGGTCTTCATCACATCCAGCTCCGGTGGTCTCTTAGGATTTCTGCTCTGCAGTGGCAGCAGGCACAGCCAGACTCTCTGGCTTCATAATCTGATAGGTGATCAAGTATTCTGGATAAGCCTGAGGAACAAAGATAAAAAGCTATAGTTATTTAATCACAACAAAGTAGAAACACCTTCATAGAAGTAGAAATCTCAAATACGAGCAGTTTTTATGGTGTGGCATTATTTCACAGCTTACATATTTAAAACAAAAATCTGATTTCAAATCTGAAATAATCTGCAGAAGCACAAGGATTGTATCAGGGATTTTTTTTTAGAGAAATCCAACATTTAATTAGATTTAATTTATTCAATGAGTCCCAGAAATGGTTTATCATGAGGAAACTTTTTTCTTTGTGACAAAGGCAGCATTGCAGCATTTCCACCATAAAGGGTACACCGTATTCCAACGGAAGCGTTTTAGCATGGAGCGACTGCGCGGCTGGACTCGGATCACATCAGGATGGCATCATTCAGCTAAAGAAGTTAACTTGGTGGCTTTAAATATGAAAACAAATCAGTTTCATTATTCAATTACCTTTTTTTCTTTGGATCTTTCAAGGGGAAGGGCGTTCAAATACTTTGTCAGTTATGCTTTTTATTCAATAATCACATCTATTTTCCCTGTAGATTAACTATGAACTGAAATAACATATTCCATAAAATCTGAGAAAATTAGATCCAAACTCTGCAGATCAACTCACTTTCTGCCTGAAGGATCCACTCTGCTCTACAGTAAACTGTTGAATAGCTGCGTATTTCAGAGGTGTCAAGTAAAGAAGTACAAATACTTTGTTAACTTACTTAAGTAGATCTTTTGACTATCTATAGTTTAATGATTTTCTATTCCTTATATTTTCTTTTTTAATGTCTCTACTTTTTACTCCTTACAGTTTAAAAATAGACTCATTAGTTTTGTTTCATGTGAGCTCAGTTTCATTATGGCCTGTTGGTATTTAAAAACACACACAAAAAAAACATCAAAATTATTTTTTTCCATCCAGACAATTTCTTTCACTTTTACCATTAGTTATAAACACAAAAACATTAAGTGTAAGGAAATTATCATCCAAAATAAAGAAACAATTTCCTATAACAGGGTAGTGCAGTAACCAGTATAAGGCTTCTTTAAAATTTGTCCTTGATTACTTATACTTTTATACCTTAAGTACTTTTTAAAAGAGTACTTTAACACTTTTATTTGAGTAAAAACTAAAGTTAATAATACTCGTAACATCTACAAAATTGTTTTTTAAAACATTAGGATTTATGCTTCTACTTCCAGCTCCACCTAGAGGTCAGTGTTGGAACTACAGCTGATTTGTTAGAGAAGAGTTCACTAAAAACTGACAGAAATTGGCTCAGGTTAGAGGCCTGCGCGGAACAGATTTTACAGTCTCGCGCCCGCACGCTCCCGCAGTGTTCAGTCCGGCTCTCGCAAAGAATATTGATTTTCAGTCCCGCTCCCGCCCGCAACTGTAATAGTTTGTCCCGCTCCCGCCCGCAATTCCCGCATGATTCCGACGTTCGCCTACTGCTCAAGGCAATTCGTGTCATTAGTTTAAGGAATTGAACACGCTGTGCTTAGCTGAGGACATTACTGGCCGATTCTTTACCGCATAGTGCATGATGCGCGTTAGGTGGCACGAGCTGCTGCTTCACAGCAATACCCAACTAACCTACCAAAGTCTACTGAGGATATTAAGAATAATATATTGTGCATAATCTTATATGCCGCTCATCATCATGTTCATGTATGAAATAAAAATATAATAAGTTATAAATGATCATTTTAAACACCGTATGATGGAGCCCCACCCAGCACATTGTGATGAATATATATATATTATATACAGCAAATGATCATTTAGGACTTTATTTTAAATTTCAAAACATGTATTTAGTTTGCGGGACTCCCGCTTATCACAGCTCCCGCCCGCACCCGCCCTGTGCGCTCTCCCTTCCGCCCGCAACCGTAATGAGCTTTCAATATTTGTCCCGCGCCGTACGGCTTTGCGTTGGGGCCCGCGAGTCCCGCGGGAGTCCCGCGGCAGTGCAGGGCTCTAGCTCAAGTTTCTTCCTCCTCATAAAAATACTTATTTGGTCAAATTAAAGGTTAGAACTACAATCACTTTTAGATTATGATCTGCCTCGTTTGTTGTTTTTTTTCCCAAACTATGTAACTTATTGCAAAGAGCACTGTAATCCAGATTTGGACATAAAACCTAAACCTTTTACATCATATTTAACTGAAATAATATTTCAGTTTGAAATTTACAAATGTGTGTATGATTGACTATGTTCCCACTGACCTGCTCCCCTCTGTAGATGACATATTCTGCGTATGCCAGCCCATTGACGCTGGGTCGCCCTATGACCGAGTGGTGCCCAGGCGGGGCGTGGGCCATTTTCATAGCGCTGAACTGAAGAAAGGACTTACCCAGCGTCACACGGCAGAACAGCATCTGCCTGCAGAGAGATTTAGAACAAAACAGTCAGCAAACAGAAACTCATTTAGCAATGAATGGAGAATGAGAGTTGAAAGGCTGAGGCCGGGCTGACCTGTGACACACGTAGCAGGAGCGGTCTTTGTGAGTAGGACACCCCGTGCCTCCACCGATCCCGTACACATACTGGTTGCTTTTGGACGAGTTCTCTGCGAAATAGATTCCTGCCCCGAACATGCCGCCAATGTAGGCATGTCGCTCGTCAAAGCCCTTATGGATGATTGCATTGATGAAAGGAGAACCTGATGAAGTCAGAAAGAGCACCAATGAATTAATAAATCCCTCCTGTTTAACCTCTTATGGACCCTTTATAAAAAGCATCACAAGCAAACCCGTTTAAACCAAATTGTCTGCTTCATCAAAATCCACCTTTAACTTCAATAAGAGTTTCTCAATACCTCCGAAAAAGATCCGACAAACTTTATCTTTGATCACAAAGCTCCAAATATGAAAGACACAGAGCATCAGGAGATGCTGTGGGAGGGTAATCTTGGGAAATCTACAATGTGAGAAAGATCTAAGATCACTGGAGCTTGACAGGCCATTTCAGGCATCAGAGAAGGCAGATTTTTTCCTAGGATTTCCAGCTCTCCAGTTTGCCATTTTTCTTAAAGAAACTAAACTCTGCAGCAGACGTGAGGCGGCGTCCCGACTAAGCTGTGTGGTGGAGAGAGGAAGGATGATAAATGAGATCCACTCAAGCTTACAGTCAAGCTGGAAGAATGAAAACGTCGAAGTACAAAGTTAATCTTCCGGAGCACAAATGGCTGAACTTTGGCTGAGCAGCGACTTATTTCAGTCAAACAGGAAAAAGTCTCTAAAAACCTGCAGGAAACCTGGGGTCTAGTTGATTTAATGTTTTTTTCAGTTTCTTGCTTTTATCCCTAAATAGTGAAACATTCTTTGATCTTATCATGTCTTTATGTGATATAATTCTGCTTCACAGACAAAAAACATTAAAACAATTATTATAAAAGCGTATACATTCTCCTAACTGTCATAAAGCCAAATAAAACCACCTTGCATTTTTGGATTGACTTACGTTAAATAGATATAAACAAAAAAGTGAGCTGAAACAAGCCAATTGTTTAGCAAAAATGTACAAAAAAAAGATTTCCTTTAAAATGGCTTTGAAAAATAAATTTTAATTAATCTATTTATTTACATTTTCCTTTTATTTTTTAACAGAAAACAGATATAAAATGATATACAATATAAGACATACATTTTGAACTAATGCAACAATTTATTAAATAATTGCAAGACGTATAAATAAACAATAGCATATGGGATTTATTATGGAGAACAAAAAAACATAAAAATAAATACCTACAAAAATTATTTAATCTATATAAAATCAAATTTTTTTTTTTATATCTATATATCTATATTTGTGACCACTTCTACTACAACTTTTTGCTGCTGTAACACCACAATTTCCCCATTGTCGGACAATAAAGTAATTTTCTATTCTACTCTATTCTATATTTGTTTTCTTAAAGTAACTTTGGAAAATATTTGTCTTTCTAAGAAAAAAAAATCCCATTAAAAACATAAAACAAATGTATTTAGATAAAAATAATGTAAAGTTGAAAGGAAATCCTTTCTGAGCAAATTACCGTGAAACAACATTCGCTCGTTGTGGTGGTTGTGATTCTCGTCAGCTATCTCCTTCTGCCTGTGGGCGTATCTCTCTCGCAGCTTCTTATTCACAACCTTTTGAATCTGCACTCAGAGGAGAAACAGGAAGCCGATTAGCAGACAAACTCAGCAGAAAGTTTGTAAAATTTAAAATAGAATTGAATCCCAAGTTTACAGCTTTAACAGGATTGATAATGTGTCTTTCCACTATGTTCACAGCCTGAGTCTGAGTGTGTTTTCAAACTGCACCTTAATGATGTTGTACCGGCTGAAGACTCCGCCTGCGTTGCCTCCGTCGCGGTGCTCTCTGATCGTGCTCTGCAGCTACGGGCGATACGAACAAGCCAGGCGCATTAAAAACGAGAACAAAGCGCGTGGGAAATGTGCTGCTTATCTGCCATCTCAGCTGCTACAGAATCCATATATTTACTGCAGAAGTGGAGCAGTAACTCATTAACTCAAATACCTGGATGGGACCCTGGGGAAATTTAAAGGAATTCAGCTGAAAAGGTGAAGCCTAAGCAGGAATGTAAGAAATATGCCGCGAAAAACTAAAGAAAGAGTCTGCGGAGACGGAGCTGTAGCAAGCAGATCACATACTAGACTGACAGTAATCCTACCTCTAATATCACCTGTGAAATTTCTGTTAACATCTGTCACTTCTCATTAATTTAGGCCCCTTTACACTGATATCTGCTGTCTCCTGCAATCAATTCTGCTCATTTAAAGCAGCGAAAAGGCTACACAGGAAAAAAAACAGCTCAATCATGACTTTGCTTTGTGCTTCTTGCCTAATTACTGACATGTTTTCTGAGGTAAAACTAAATGCACACCCATACTTTCTGTCAAACCATAAAAAGATTCGTATAAGGAGGTTCTCACCTCCTCCTCCACAGACTGGAACTCCTTGTCATCCGGTGCCAGGTCGATCAGCACTGTGCCCTGACTGGAGCAGTGGAACGTCAGGTATGGATTTCCACCTGCGTGCACAGAGTTGAAAACCCAATTACAACTCAAATGGCACACGGAGCACGAGTCTGGGCATGCAACTACAGAGTAGATACAAATTTGGGCAAGATTCTCAAATTTTTCACAGGCAGTCGTAGACATAAACCCTTTAAACCGGTTCTTCTATTACAGCTAAAGAAGCTTGAAATTGGGAAATCTTTACAAATCAAATTCCAGATCTGAAACACAAATTCACTTTTCTTATTATACTGATATGAATCCAAAATGATATACAAGAAGCCGTAAAAAAAACTGTGTGTATTTAAACAAATTACAGGTCATTATGTTGAAGCAGGGGTTTACGGAGCCTAAAAATACAAAAAAAAAAACAGCCTGCATGGCTGCTTGTATCATGGCAAACAAAACATTTTAGGATGGTGGTTATCTAAAAGAACTAAGCTAACTGCTATACAGGTTTTGACAATGATGGCAACAGAGTTCTTCAAGGTTAAACACATTTTTGTAACAAAAAAACTCCAGTAAAGTAAAGACAAGAAAGCTATCCTGAAAAAAAGACAAATTATTTTGCAAATGATTAATGTCGACTATTTTTTCCAAGTAATCCATTAATAAGGGATAGCAAAAAGTTCCTTCAAAAAGGAAATTAAACCAGGTAAGACTAAAACTTTTCCACTTGAGGAGTTCTGGGTAGAGCATATTGACAGACGGTAAAGGTTTTTGATCTGAAATCCAAAGTATTTATAGATTTTAATCTTTTGATATAATTACTGCTCTAAGTAGGTTTCTCTGTCAGCTAAAGCCATGTTTTGGAGTCTGTATACTCCAGTTAACTATTACTAAATTAGTTGATGATTATTTCAATAAATCGATTGATCACGATTAATCCAATTAATTGTTTCAGCCCTAGTTGCAGTATCATGCTGTGTAAGATGCTGTACATCAAAGGTTATGATAATTAAACAAATGTTAGACACTCCTCAAACATGCACGGCTGGTTAGCCTCGTTTCTAGAATGTCACAGCGAGGATAAACCAAGATGTCTAATCAGTAGCCTAAAACAATCCCGCTGTTAAAGCTATATACGCTAAATACCCGGGTACCTGAAAACAAGCAGAACCTCTGCACATCAATGAAATAAAACAAAACAAAGAAAATGTGACTCCATGGGTGAAACATTATGGTAAAATGATGAAGACATTTTTAAAAAGATGGTTTGATCGATGGATGGATGGATGGATGGTTGGTTGAATGGTTAGATGGATAGGTGGTTGGATGGCTGTTTGGATGGATGGGTGGTTGGATGGATGGTAAATGGCCTGTACTTAAATAGCGCCTTTTTTCAAGTCAGGAGACTTGACCAAAGCGTTTTACATTACATTCATTCACCCATTCACACACAAACTCACACACTGATGAATGGATGGATGGTTTGATGAAAGGTTGGATGGATGGATGGGTGGATGGTTTGTTTGATGGATGGTTGGATGGATGATGGGTGGTTGGATGGATGAAGGGTGGATGGGTGGTTGGATGGATAGATGGATGGAAGGATGGTTTGTTTGATGGATGGTTGGATGGATGATGGGTGGATGATTGGTTGGATGGATAGATGGATGGAAGGATGGTTTGTTTGATGGATGGTTGGATGGATGATGGGTGGATGATTGGTTGGATG